TATATATATATATATATATATATATATATATAAAATATAATATACTTTTAATTTTTAGCTTACAGTACAACTGGTATTATACTATACATGTGTGTATATATATTAGCATTACACAAATGTGTGTACACATATAAAATGTTATTAATCGGTATACTTGCTTATGTATATAAACATGTATAGTATATTATCTCAGTTTGTACTGCAAACTTAAAATGAAAAGTATGTGTATACTTGTGTATATACATATGTAGTGCTAGAATAAATTGTCATATATTTATGAATTTATAGTAATGTCCAAAAATACTGTTAGTACATGTAGTATTAGTGGTTCTGTATAAATGAAAGGATGATGTAATGCGGGTGTTGTTGTGTTGTACCTATAACTTTTAACTCCTGAGCATCAGAATCTCCTTCCTTCTGTGCAGCTCCTGCACTGATGTGGCTGAACCTGTAGGTGGCGTGGCAGCTGTAGTTGCCGACATCATCTTGTGTGGCGTTGGTGATGGTGTATGTGCCTTCACCTGAGTTCATGATTTCTTTTTTATCCTTATAGAAGACTGCTTTTTCCAGTTTCGGTCCACCCCAGACTACACACCTGAGAGCCACAGGCTCCCCCTGCAGCACAGGAACGGCCGGAGGAACCAACATCACCATGAGCTCTGAGAAACAGACCAAACACAGGTCAGACTGCACATCCTGCACATCTACTGTTTCATTTAAATATCCCGTCAAATTATGATGTGAGTTTTGTGGCTTTTAATTCATGTCTATTTGCTTTGAATTCACCTATGTGCCCGTGCAAGTAAAACCGGACAAATGTTTAGCAGGTATACAGATTTAAAATGGAAATCTTTAGGAAAACAGACCGAAATCTTGATGACATCTTGCAGGTGTCCAATCAAATGCTTTGTAGAGTGAGAACGGCCCTCATGCAACCAAATAGCAAATCTTCATGTTACTGTTATGTAAAGTAAAGACTATTGGCTATTGCCTATATAAGTAAAATGGGTTCATTAAATAATGTCAACATAGAAAAAGGAAAAGAGTGATTTAATGCAATCTTTAATTAAAACTTTGTCTTTGTGACACACGTTGCCAAGAAGTAAGAGTATAAAGAGCTATAAAGACTGATCTGAAGAAGTTGGACTTTTACAGACTTTGGTATCTTGGTAAATCTGAGCACAGTTTGATGCATCGTTGAGATCTCATTTGACAATTTAGAGGAAACACATGTGAGTTTTTTTTTTCTTTCAGTAAAACCCGCCTACTTCCACTCACTGTTACGAATCTACATCCCCTCCAG